GCAGGTGAACAAAGGAGATGGATGGATGAAAACATTTTTAAAAAATCAAACCATTATAAAATGTACAGCTTACACCGCTGTACGTAGTTCTGGAAACAGGATTAAAAACTGCTGGCATGATTATAACTGATTTTTTTCCAACCTCTATCATCCTTATACAGTGCGCTGCACTGGAATTAATTTGGAGAGACTGACCTCAGAAATTAACCTCTCTGCCTCATCAGAAAGTAAACCTTCTGTTATGCAAAGAGCAGATTGCTGCTTCGTTATTTTACGGCTGCTCTGGCTTGAGCTCCTTCCCGGCACCGGGGTGTATAAAAGGGCACAGTCATATTTATATTTGAGTCACCCTAATATGAGTTTTTTTTTTTTTTTTTTTAACAACACCCTTGGGGAAACAGCTCCTGAGACGACCAGCAAACGCAAGCTTAACAGGATCATAACAGTAAAAGAGGATTGTGGCATTTTATCATTAATGCAAAACTAATTCGCTGTTTGCAGCACTCCTTGCAAGTATCCCCACTTCAGCTCCTGGCACGTATTATGTCTATCGAATAAAAACTCTCGGAGTGTGTGTGTGTGTGTGTGTCTGTGTGTGTCTGTGTGTGTGTGTGTGTATCGTCTGTGTATATCGTCTGTGTGTCCCGGGTCCAGCAGCTACAGAGGGATGATTCTGACCAAAGCATTTTGTTTAGAATATGAAGCTAAGATTAAGTTTAGGCGGTATGTAATTTTTCATACATCATATTTCCTAGACATTATACCGCGGTATACGGTATTTTGATGGCATTTTCAAGAGCAGCACTATTCCGGTATTATAGAATCGTGGTGAAATCTTTTGGGGGGTGGGGGTTTGGTTCCCCACGATAAATTTCGCAAACTGAAAATACTGCGGTATACCCAAGGTATCATGGTGTATCATGGTGTATCATGGTGTATCATGGTGTATCATGGTGTATCATGGTGTATCATGGCTGAGATGCTGGTTCATGCATTACCATCCCAGTCTTGAAATATATTAGTCTGCTCCCAAGAAGCCCTTTCCGGGGTCATGGTGGATCTGGAGGCTACAGGTGCAAGGCAGCCAACAACTCGGGGGGGGGGGGGGGGGGCACCAGCCCATCAAAGGACACACTCACACATACAGGCGATTCTAATTAACTTCGGGGGCGGGGGAGGGGCACCACCGTGCTTAGAGGAAATCCCACAAGAGTGCGGGGAGAACATGCAAACCCCACAGTCCCTGAGATCCCTGAGATGTCAGGTAACAATGCTAACCACTGCAGCACTCTGCCATCCCTCTATGTACGACTTTACAATAAGGCTCCCTTTTGCCACTTGTAAATGGCAGTAACTCATTAATAAAAAGAAATCTGTGTTATAACGTGTTAAAATTGTCTATTACTAATTTACAAAGTGTTACATCCTAATTCATAACCAGATTACAAACCATTCATAAACCCTTTATATGGGTAGCCTTATTGTAAAGTGGCACCCTTGTAAATGTAAACACATGATTTGGTAGCGAATCCTAGCTGCGCTACTTTTCCAAATGAATAGCAATTTTATCTTTAATAGTGAAGTCAAAGCTGTCATTCGCATACAGTACCGTCACCCTTAGCACTTGCCTCTGGACTCGATGGCCATTTAAGCCTTTAAATGTGCTTTAAAACATGGTGAATTTCATAAGCATTGCATCAGGATTTAGCCAGTATCCTCTGCACCTGCCATGTCGATTCTGCGGGGGTATGTATCTTCTCAGAAACTGGCTTCATTCTGTCATCAGATGGTTCAATAGCCTTTCTCCTGCAGTCGATACCAACATTCGCCCCTAAAATCCCACCATCTTTCATCTCACCTTTCTGTCATCTTCTGCAACGCTGTAAAAACTTAAAGGACTAATGCGCGGCAGATGCCTGATCATTTTTGCAGTAACTCGCCACCTCCTTCCTCACTTCTCCTACGTTACAGTGGCGGTGTGACTGGTGGCGTCTTGCTTTTGTTTGAACGGCACAATGAAACATGTTTCTATCGAGAAAAATCTTATAATGAATATTCGGTACCGCTTTACATTAAGTGCACCTTCATAATGCATTCATAGAACATTCATAAGCAGCATGCAAGTACACTTTAACATCCTAACATCCCTTAACAGCTTTAATATACATTAATAACAAACATTACATGATTATACAATTATAATGTTTGTTATTATTATATAATGTTTGTTATTAATGTATATTACAGCTGTGAAGGGATGTTAGGATGTTAACACATGATGTTTATGAATGTTTTATGAATACTTAATGAATACATTATGAAAGTGTACTGAACGTTTTATGAATACAATATAAAAGCATTATGAAGGGTACAGTTAATGTAAAACGTTACCGAATATTCTTATAATGAATAGACTATCAAATACATTTTTTTGCATATTGATTCTGTAATGAAGGTGGGAACCAAGATTAAATTCCTACATTCCACTGTTTATGGTGTCAAGGTATGCTCAGCTGAAGCTAACGTGGGAATAATTCATTCATGGCAGTCAGGATTTATCTGACCAACTCTCAGTTTCGTGTGTATGAATATATTGAAGAAATGTGATGAAAGGACCTGGTCCATTTTTGCATACTAAATGTGATGAAAGGACCTGGTCCATTTTTGCATACTGTCGAGGTGACACCATTGTCATGCCCGTTACTAGAAGCAAATTAACATGTCAAATTATGAACATTTTTGGGGGAGGCCAGTAAAAATAGAAGATAACATAAATTATTGATATGTCAGTATTTTCTTTTCTTATACTTTATGAAGGTTGACGTTTCAGCTGATATTAGTGTTTACACTATGTTAGACCAGGCTTCCGAGTTCATTATCCTGACTGCTGTAGTAAACAATTGATTGTTAAAAGTTGAGTCGTTCCCACAGAATCCTCCTAAATGGCCGCAGAGCACTCTCTCTCTCTCTCTCTCTCTCTCTCTCTCTCTCTCTCTCTCTCTCCTCCTGTTTCATTTATATCCAGGGTAGTAACCCAAAAGCAGATCTTCCATCACATTAATACAATGAGTCCCCAAAATTGACTAGATGTTGCTGTGTCCTTTACCGTTTAACTTACTTATATACCTGACTTTTAGCAAGCAAGTCCACTCTTTTCTGTTTTCAGTAATGTTAGTGCCCGGGGGGGGAGCCAGTTGACCTTGCACCCCCAGAGCTTAATTTTCTCTTTATTTGTGAGTTTTTGGTTCCTCTCCTCCATTGTCATCTGTCTTTCTTTATTTAATTTCTTTCCTTCCTTTTTCCCGTTCTGTATTACTCTCTCTAATGATGTTCAATGTATCACAACACCTACATGTAAATTGCTTTGGGACAACTCTGTTGTGAAAGGCGCTATATAAAAATAAATTGAATTGAATTGAATTACTTCGGGTGCATTCAGCAGCAGACAGAAATAGGAAAGCAGATGTTCTAGTCATTCCGATTATCATGTTACACGGTTAATTGCGTTAATCCCGCCAAACGTTGCACCCACCTACCCTAAATGATTTCTCACTTGGTGCAGTGGCTTAAGGCTTCAATCCTTTAAGCAGTCGCCATATTTGAAACTGGTAAGTATAGAAAAGGCCATTGTATGTAAAATGAGGGAGCTGCTGACAGACAGAAGCGTTTGAGACGTCCCGGTGTCCCAGAGTGCTTTGCCAGCATGGAGCAGGAGATGAAGGCCCTGTAGATACCACTGGGCCCATTTCCAAGTGTGTTCCACAGATCTATGAGGCAGGAGGTCTGCTTTGGAAACCTTACCTTCCTGACCTTGTGACAAAGGGTGGTGGGTGTGCGTTGGAGTGAAAAGGTGCGATATTTACTATGCCCTGTTCAGCCAGCAGAGATGCTGACTCTAACCACAGCGTGGGGGTTTCCCAGCAATAAACTTCTTTGGATGCTTTTGCCTGATTGTTAAGTAACAAACTATTATAAATTCATATTATTTATGTTCCTCCCTCTGATCCAGTATAGGATTGCGGGGATGTTGCTGATGATTTAATTAAACTTGGAAATACAGCAGTTTACCACCATGAAATAAGGTAAAATCCTTTAGGTGCCAATTTCCATCTCTACAGACATAAATCCATTAGGGAAAAATACCCCGTCTGCAGGCAAATTATTATTTAACTGTACTGGTACAAGTACGACATTAACGGAAGCGTGCTTTGTCTCCATAATTATGTAACAATCCAATATTTTAGTGTTACAGGAAAACCTTAAATGTTTTATTTTTCTTAGAAGATAATACTGGTCCACGTTTTTAGCAGAGCTCTCCTCAAGCAGCTGGAGACTTTGCACGAGATGTGAGGCCAGGCTTCAGCGTGACGGGCAGATCCACTAAGCTTGACCTGAAACAGGTAGCGGTCTGGTCAGCACCCACCTCCCAACGAGCGTCTTACAAAGCATGAGCCCTCGGTTTCTTGGCATTTCTGACCCCCCCCAACAATTCATGGCAAATCTATGATTAATTGATAGAGCCAACCATGACCCTCCCGAGGCAGAGAGACAGGCAACAAGTCACGGGCGAGGTTTGTCACAGGGGCAGGGCTGCCGGCTGGGCCCCCTCTGAGTAATGAAGAGCCATGGGGGGGGGGTGAATGCATTGTCATGCTTTACCAGCAGAGTGAGACGCTGTAGGTTAAACTGTGTAATTTGTGTGTGGGTGTATGTGTCTGTGTGAGAGAGAGAGAGTATTTATACTGGCACTGGGAGGATTGAATGCCACAGAGCTGGGAGGAAGAGCAACAGTACCTGTGAAAGGGGCCGCAGGGACCCGGGAGAGCGGGCAGGGAGAGAGGGGGGGAGGCAGGGAGAAAACCTCTTTGTTTCTCTTTCTCAGAGGAGGTATGTGCTGGGCAGGAAAAAACAGGCAAATGCTTCTCGCAGGGTCAGGGCAGCTTTTGTAAAACTTGATGAAGATACTGGAAGAGCATAAAACTTCAGCTTCTTGCGTTTTGAAGTGACGTGCGCCTTTCTTTACAAAGCCACCTGCTGCTGAAGAATAGCTGGTGAAGCGTATTATTCATTTACCTTTGGAGGCCAGTTTAGCATAAAACAGAAGGGTTTTCTTGGGTGATTTTCTTTTTCTTTTTTCTCGGGAACTGTTGCTTTTCTGAATTTGCAGTCCAAGTGGCCATTTTGCAGTTGAGGAAGGTAGAGAGAAGAGAGGAGATGTTCTAGTTTCCCTCGAGCCAGACCGATGAGATACGAGCCACTGCAGTTTCAGTCGAGGCGTCAGCTGGTGTAGAGCAGCTGAGCTGTGCGCTGGTGAGAAGGTGGGACCTCCCGGTTTGTGGGGACCGTACCAAGCGGAGCTGAGGTCTGCCTGTTGCTGGATGGTCTCACAAGACAGCAAGTCAGCATGCTCTGTGGTCTGAGGAGGGATGTGAAGAACAACTTTGGTAAGATTGGCTGATGTCCTTGCTATAGGTACGAGTGTGTTGCCATGGTGTATCGCAATTACAATTGCAATTACAATTGCTGCAATTACCATGACTTCTTTTGTTTGCTGTATGTTTGAAAGACCAAAAGATGCCAGTTTGGTATTTTTGGCGCTAGTTCTTAACAGCACCTTTCTTCTAAGACAATAGGATCATCAAAATGCTGGTGCTTAGTCACACACTGATGAAGGCTGTCCATATGAAAAGTATAGCATCAATTTTTGTTTGAAACTGGTGGTTTAGTTTGCTTCTGTACCTAAAACCCGTTTATATGTAGGTTCCTATTAATTTTTTCATTGAGTCGTTTGATTAGAAAACCTGGTGCACATGAGCTTTTTGGAGGGGGCAAGTTACTCGATTTTGCCTAGATGGTTTGGTGAAATGATAGTAATCGTCGCATTTTTTCCACCTCTCTGAAGCCCCAGCTGCAAAGCGTTAAATCCGATGGTTGTTTTAAGGCGAACACGCAGTCATTCGGTACTTGAGCAGAAGCTGAAGTCACGCTACGTCGGGCGCTCTAATGCGCTCCCGGTGGGGACGCGCACGGCTACTGCGAAGGGATGCGCTGGGTAATGACGGGCTGACGGGGACCGTGTCCGCCGCCTCCCGGGAATGCGTTTGCCATTAAGGCGGGTGCTTAGGCGCCTTTGAGAAACCCGGCAAGTTTTATTACCCATCACACACGTGGGATTATAAACTGATGTATCGCGCGCGCGCGCGCGCGCACACAAACACACACACACACACACACACACACACACCGGCTCACTCGTACCAACGCCGTGTAATTTGTTTCAGATCCCATGCGGTGGATTTCGTATATTCATACCATACTCCATATCCATAAATATTCCGTAATAACTCTTATGTTACTATATTAATCGGTGTATCGGTAAACCCTTCATATGTGTGCTTTAAATATTTATGAATGCAACCATTTATTATTTTTTTATATTGGAGAGTAAATTACTAATCCCATATCTAGGCCACGACTAAATTAACATATCTCTCTCGTTTCCTCATTTGCATTTTTTGCTTATTACGAATATATAATGTACTCGTAAAAATGCTCAAGAGTAGCAGCCACTTTTACCGCAATGCATAATTAAAACAGATATATACTTAAATAATCTATTTCATATTAAAACTCTTAGTTTAATCTTTCCTCTTGGCGTTTGCCTAAATTGCCCTATGGCATGACATCGACAACAGTTATTTTATGGTATGTATTGAACGTAAGCCATGTGCGAGATTTTGTACTGTTTAGTAGCTCCGTTTTGGTAATGTGTAATGCTTAAAGTAACTCCAAGTTTACGTTTGCTGGTGGAAAATTGAAATACAGCGACAGTCCAGCACGAATTAAAATGACTTTCATGCTTAAGGGGCATTGAGGAATGAAAGTGTGCACTTCAAACGCTGGTTTAACGCCTTCACTGTCCTGCTTTTGCTCTGTTTTAGAGAAAAATGTACCAAAATGAGCAGTGCATTTTGCTTCTAATCCCCATAGGCGCCTCCAGTAACGCAGTGGCATTTCTCGGTGATTATTACAAAACCAGGTCGAGATTCACTAACAATGTATCCCAGTTGGTAGCCCCACTGCCGTTACCACCTCCACCAACCATGAAAACGAAAACTTTTTTCTTTTTTATCTTTACATATTTATTATGTATAAACTCAGACCCGTTGTCTTCCACATTTAGTATCTCCTTCATCTTTTATCAGTTTTATCCTTCATCTTTTATCCTTTATCAGTCTTTGATCTTTTCTTTTTTCACATCTGTCCATTTTTGCCTGCTATTTCTGCTATAGGAGACAGGTTCATACTTCACGTCCATAAGAATGTTCTGGAGAGTTCTATATATTCATTCTTTGTGTAGCATTCAGGGAATAATTTTGGGTCTATACAACTAGCAATTTGCAAGTAATTATTGAACTAATTGCAGGTTGTTTTCTGATGCTCCCGGTTATTTTCCCACTCTATTTTGAGATTACAACAAAAGAGAAAAATAGAAAATATAATTATGTACTTTTTAAGCAGAATTCCTTGCACTTTTAATTATTGTGGATTTTTCTGAGCTTTTCACATTTGCATAATCAGCAACATATTTCAGTGTTTTCAAGATAAGCTGCAAAAAGCATTTAGATAAGAGGAAATGATTTCAGAAAAGAGGGGTGTGATTTCTGTAAAAATTATAGTGCCTCTTTGCCATCACTGTTTGTGGGAATCATATCTCAGAAATGACTTTGAAAAATCAATACCTGCTTCCCTTTAACCTACAGTTTCATTCACTATCTTCAAGATTAATGTTTAGGTGTCTCCCGCTGCATTGTTGGTCTTTTTTTCCCGGAGATACGTCTTTGCATTAGAACAGCACTTTCCCCCGTGTTTCTCTATACAGTGATATTCGTAAATCAGAGATACTATAAAAAGCCTAAATTCAAAGTGTGGGGCCTTCCATGTGTATTATGTTACAGTTGGGATGTAGACGGGCCCATGTGGTCTGTTGAGATTTAGAGCCATTGCAGCTGTAGCAAAAGTCCCCAGAGGAAACTGTAGCATTGTTTTGATCAGATGACCCAACCACTAGGGCTGCATGAGCGGCTTCCCTGGTAAGGGCAATAGTCTCAGACTGACACCAATATAACACCAAAGGTTATTCATTTGTAGAACTGTGTTCAGCAAAGAGACATGAGGCTAAGTAAGGGCTTAGCAGGTTGTGTGTGTCTTGGTAGAGAGTTTGGTGTTCTAGTGAAATTAGAGTACATCTACAGAGATGCTGCAGTTTTGGGTGGATCTCTGTTGATGTGGGACTCAGTTTTCACGTCTGGTGTTGATTTGTTCGTTTATGAAAACAGCATTAGTGCAAAAAGCCAGCTCCACTATCCATCCTTCTGTTCTGATGGTCCTGGGCTCCTGCTGAATACACATGATAGGCTGTGAGGAGATGACTGAGTCCTCAGCTGTGATGTTCTGACTCAGTGGGCAATCTCAAAGAGCGCTGGTTTAATGTCTCTTTGTTTAGATGCTGCACTGACTTCTTTGCTAGCCCAGCGATGCTAAAGATTGCTTTGACAAATACCTTTGAGTGGGTCTGGAATGTGCTTAAGTGGATTTCTATAATAATCTATTGATCCACTAAGTAACTGCATGTTTAAATCAGTTTACCATTTAATGGGCTGGAACTGACAATTACAGTATATCATTCATTTATAAGCTTCACAATGAAGTTGCCGAAAACCCTGGTCAACCATTGCGGGATGGTTCAAGTTTCTACTGAGTGAATGTCATCTGACTTTATTTACCTTGTTAACTCCGCAAAACTGAATTTCAGTTACGCTTTATTGTGTTTGACTGATCAAAAAATGGACAGTGCAGTGCCATCTCAAGTAGGTCTGTTGCCTCCTACCTCCATGGTTGTGGATTCGATTGTCATCCACAGTGCTGTGTGTTTACAATTTGCATGCATCCTTTGTGTTTCTTTGGCTTTTCTCTGGGTTGTCCAGTTTCCTCCCACAGTTGATGAAGGGGTATTCTCCACAGTGTGTGAGTGACTTGCCTTTAGATTGCTAGGATAGAGTCTTGGGCCACCATAACTGTCTACTGAATAAGCAGTGATGGATAGATGGACAAGACCCGGATCAAATCGAATGCTGTATCAGGTACTTGGTAAATGATCTTTGCACTGTACTGTTGACATACTGTATCTACCAACAGCTGCCACATTCCATTAACAAATAACAGCTGCATCAAAATTAGCAAAGGCTCTTTTTTTAGGACAGAGGTCTCCCCCAGTTTCGATCTTAGAGATGAACCTTTGAAGATTGTAAAATTCTGACATATTTTCAAAAGCAAATTATAGCTCTGTTCCAAAGAACTCATCTTTCTCCATCATCAAGATGGCCTCAGATGTACTTACATGGACAGCTTGATATTTCAGTATATATACATGATGTTGATTATCTCATAAAATATAACAGTGCTAAACTGCTAACATTTGGTACTTGTATTCGACATGTTGACTACAGAAGAAATGGAGAGGAGTGAAAACCTGAGGGACCTCGAATGGGCCGAATCATTATGGCCAGACAACTGAGTGCAAATGGCAGATAATTTTCATGATTTGTCATGCAGTGGTGGGGACAACTAACCGAAACGTTAGTTTATAGATAACCACTGATCTGCTAACTCCAAAGTTTAATTTAATGCGCTAAACTGATAAACAACGAAAACATTTAGTGGAAGCTAATGATAACTGTCGAAACTGTCGAAAGCACCTACAATGGACAGTGTTGGACCTGGTCGTTGGAACAAGGTGAAAGGTCACCTATGCCAATGAGTCCCATTTTTTATTGGGTTATACGGACAGCCAGGTACACAGCACCATATCCTGCAGGGCTCGGTGAACTGTAGGTGGTGACTCCTGTAACCACCATTACGATTATCTGCCATTTCTGCCACAGCAGCCCTTCTTTTGCTTTTAACCAGACAGAAGAGCCTTCGTTCATATCTTGCATTGACGATCCACCCAACACCCTGTTGGTGGATCATTTGTTTTCCCTCCTCAGACAGCATTTTTAAAACCTGGTTTAATCCAGAAGGCTACACTGATTAGCAGGATGCTTTAAGGTTCGAAATTTCTAAGACAGCAGTACACAAGAACAAGGTGAAGCAGGAGACACTGGGAACGACTGGATACCAGCCAGGTGAAGGGTGGAAGTGACTCTCTAATGCCAGAGATGCCCGTTAACTTATCCAACAGATTCTCATGAATCAGACGATGACATCAAGTGACCTTCAAAAGGAATGGGAAACGTTACGTGGTATGAAGTGCACTGCTATACGATAGATTGTATCAGGCTCGTAGAAGCAGGAATGAAGTTCCATAAAACAAGGAAGAAGTGCTTCATTAATGAGGAACGGAGAAGAACCAGGCTGCAGTTTGCAAAAAAAAAGAGAAATA